TATCTAAAATTCCATATTTATATCCTTGAATTCCATTAAATAATTTTATAGAAGAAACAAATGGACCATATACTAATAATAATGATTTAAATTGTTCTGGTTTATTAATTGAGCCAAACTCAATAATATTTTTTACTAATCCATTAGGATGTTGAAGAAAACATTTTTCATGTTTACATGAAAGATATTGTGATGGTTCTAAATTAGAACTTTCATTCTGAAAATATACATAAGGAAAATCTTTTAATATTTCTTCAGTATCTCCTCCACAACATCCTTTAGCTTCTGGTGAACAATCAAAATATAAATTTGTATTAATTGATGCATTTTTTAATGTTTGATTTTTATAAGAAATAAATGCAATTTCTTTTGCTGCAAATGCATAACAACCATCACAACCTGACCAATAAATATCAGTACAAAAATCATCAGTTTTCATTGAATTAGAATTATTTAATGTGTATTTTCCACATCTTGAAAAAGATGCAGGAGGATCAGTTATTTGAGGAAGAATTGGAGGTGGGAAGATTATTGATGAATTTTTTAAAGACTTTGGATTTGAACAACCAATTTCAGAAAGGCTTTTATCACTTAATATAGTTATACCAAATACAGCAGTAATTTTAGAAGAAGATAATGAATTAAAATATCTATATATTTTAATTTGTTCCTATTTGATATTATGAATATCAGTTTAATGAATATTTGAATATAAAACAATTTACAAACCATAAAAATATTTTTTCTATAATTAATTTCTGTTGTAGTCGAATAACTTTTATTAAAATATTTACAAAAATTTTCCCACAATATTTCATCAGGTAATTCTAAATTAAATTGATCATCATCATTGTCATTTGTATTATTTAAAAGATCTTCATTAATATTTTGTATTTTAATATTATGTTCTTGTATTTCTTGTAGTTCATTAAAATATTCTGAATAATTTATTGAATGAATTAGTGATGGACAAAATGTTTGTTGTGCATAAGTGTAAATAGAAAAAAGTAATATCACTTTTATTGTTATTTCATTCATCTTTAATTTTGAATAACTAAAATTATAGTTCTTTTATCTCTTTTTTTTTGTTTATTGAAGTTTTATGAAATTGCTTCAATAAACAAAAAAAGAAGAGGAATGACATTAAAAACAAAATTTATAATTTCTATTGAATAACATAAATATTATTTTATAGTTTTTTTAAATTTATTTTTTTTAATAACAAATAAAAAAAAAATAGTTAAAAAATGTTATTTTAATTAATAAATCAATTAAATTCAGAAAATGTATTACAGAGTAATATTTTTTATATCTGGATCTACTAAACTTGTTGGTACTATTACATCCCCAAATATTTCATGAAGTGTTTTAAATGTCTCATCAATATTAAATTCATCAGCAACTAATTCTTTCTTTTTATCTCGAAGTTCATCACAAACGTTTTGTTTTGAATCCATCATCATTTCTTTCATTTTTTCAGCAAGCATAAATGCAGCATCAAAAAGTGCTTGTAAACACATTTTACACTCATTACTACTTCCAAGATATCTCTCTTTTAATGATTTCATTGCTGGAACTAATAAATGATAGACAGCACGTGGTCCCATTGCAGTAATACCAACAATTCCCCCATATTGAGTTGTTAAAGGTTTTGTTGCATCAGTAATAGCTTGTAAATATGTTTGAAGTAAACGAGCATGAAGACGACCATATTTTTCTGAATAACGGTCACGTAATTTTTTTACAATAGCAGCAGCTTGAACACGAATATTCCAATGATTATCATAAGAATTTGTGCCAATTTGTTTTGTTACAACTAAAGTTAAAATAACTGGGAATAATTGATGTAAATAAGGTTCAAGATTAATGTTTTGATTTTCTCTCATAGCATTTACTAAAGACAACATATTAGCTAATATTTCTAATGAACCAAGATTAGCCAATGTATGATTTGAAATGTATCTAATAAAATATGGTGTTAGTTGTTGCAATCCAGAATCTGTTCTTACACTATCTAAACATTCATCAATTTTTTCTTTATTATTAGTGTTAAGAATTTCTACTACCATGTCATAATACATTTGTAATTCTTTACTTAATGAATGTTGAATTATTGGTTTTGTTTCAATAGTTTCTTCTTGTTTTTGTTTTTCTTGAACAACAACTGATGGATTTTGAGGAATTAATGGTTGAACTCCTTCTACAGTTAACCAATGACATCCAACATTAATATCACGTGGAATATCTGGGAAAAATTGACAATGAACAGCTTCATTTAATCCAATACTTTGTTCTTGTCGTACAAACATTTCATGATTAGAAGGAAGTCTTTGATAATATAATGGAATTGATGGATTATATCCATAGTATGGTTCGAGTTTCTTTAATTTTAATGCAGAATTAATGTCTTGAATTGTTAATATTTTACGTTTAGAATGTCTCATAAATTTAGTAGCTTCCTATTCATTTGTTAGTGATACACTTTATTAAAATCATTACTATAAAATAATTATGTAAGCAAACATTGAATAATTCACTAATTGAATTTTCTGCTTCTTCTGAAATTAAATTAATCATTTCATCACTCATTTCTTCGAATCCATTTGCACTTAACATACTTTTAATAAAATCAAGAGGTATCTTTTGCGAAGTCATATGATCTACATTTATCTCTTTTCACTTCATTTTTTTTTTGTTATATTCACTCAAATGTTTAATTAATTAAAAAAAAAAGAATTATTGTTTTAGATTAAATATCTTAAAATATTATTAAATAGTCCAAATTGCTTGTGAAACATGGGAATCACTCAGTCAATTCCTTTTGAAGAACAAATACCTAATACCCCTCCTACAGAAATGGAAGAAATTCAGCCAGATGTTCCATTAGTTAATGCACAAATTAAACACGTTGTGTTATATTGTATTGATAAAATGACATTACATGTTAGTAATGGTTTTCTTCATTTTTTAATTGATTGTGCTATAGAAGCACATCTTGAAGCATATACAATGGTTGAAGGTCAAAAAAAAATTTTAGAAACAAAAGAATTACCAGCTCAAATGCAACAAGAAGTGTCAATTCCAAATATAAGTAATATTTTAGCATTAACTATTGACATTACAAAATCAGTAAATGCTAATATTCCACTTACTGAATATATTTTGATTGATTCTATCTCTGTAACTATTTTATTAACTAGTGAAGTACCAAAAATTTCTAGTCAACAATTTCATATTGGTGATGTTACATATAACTCATTTGATGTATTTGGTGTTGATAGTGATGATGTTACTGGTACTGATAATCTTTGTGTTATTTGTACAACAGACCCACGAGAAATTTTATTATTACCATGTAGACATATTACTATGTGTGCTGGATGTTATGAAGAAGTTAAAGAAAGAACACACCAATGTCCAATATGTCGAACTCGTTTGTTACAATAAAAATCAAATTATTATTTAAAGTAATTAACAACATAGCAATAACTGCAGCAATTAATTTTTCAAGAAAGTCTGTTGCATCAAAAGATGATGCAACAGAAATAGAAATTGTTGATACTAAATGATCTTATGAATTTTGTTGATTCAAAATCTCTTTTTGGTTTGGTTTTAAAGAATCAAAAATTTAAATAAAAGTTTAATTGGTTAAAAGAAGAACTGAACTTATTATTTATATAGTCAAATGACTGCAAACCAATCTAAGCCAATTGATCCTTTTGAATATCAAATAAAATTAATTGATACACAAACTGAACTTGAACACACACGTGCTATTGTCGCACAACAAGCTAGCGAAATTCTTCGTTTAAAAAGAAAAGAGTCTCAGGTTATTGACTTAGAAAAGGAATTAAACCAGTTAGAACTATTTATGAAAGAAACAGAACAACAAATGAATGATATTAATTTAGGAAATGAAAATGATAGACAAAGACTATTAGATGATTGTCAAAAAGTTAAATTATTTTTTGAAGCTCTTCAAAGCCAAGTGGATACTCTTCAGTCATTAGAAAGTCTTACTAGTTCTGTATAATTGAAAATTAATGTTTAAAAAAAAATAAACTTAAAGAACCTGGTAGTATTAGAAAAGAATAATATCTATTATTTTAATCAAGTGATTTCTTATTTTGAAATGGAAGTGTTGGTTTTGAAAATTCATCTAATTGAGGTTTATACTGAACATAAAGAAAAGAAAGAAGAGAAGTTGGGATTGTTAACACAAATATACCTACCATTAAATTAAAAGCAAACGTACATCCAATACTAAGAATGACAATATGTACTATTATAATTATAAATAATAATTTGATAATATCCATCTTTTATTGTCAAATTAAATTATTTTTTTTTAGTTCTATTTGTTTTTGTAAATAAATAGAATTACTTTGTTTTTATAATTTTAATCACCGATATTTTGTATCTAAATTATCTTATTATTAACGTTTTAACTAAGACATTTATTCTTTGTTAATAAATAATTGTTATTTACACATTTTTTTATAAGTAGCTTGTTTAATGAAAAATTGAAAAAAAAGTATTTGTTATATAATTTTCATCATCTTTGTTATTTAAAATTTGTTGGTTAAACTTATAAATAAAAAAGTAAATGGATTTCATATCAAAAGTATTTCTCTTAATGCCTCGTAAATAACAATAATAAAATAGTAATAATCTCATAATAAATTTGTTTTTAAATATTTTTTAGAGATGTTTAAATGATTATTTGGGACAATGTAGACTTATAAAAATCACAATTGTTATTTATTAAGTAATTATGTTATTCATTTTAATGAATAAATATCTATCTTTTGATTTTGGTATTTCATATATTCATATAAATATTATCCATTAATAATTCAATAAAAAGAAGAAAGCTTCAAATAATAATAATATTATTATTATCTAAAATTAGAAATTATGTTTTTGAAAAAACAAAAAAGAAAGAAAATAAAAAATGAAAAAAATAATTAGAACTATAAAATAATTATTTCAAAGAAAAAATGCCATCAACCAAACGTGCATTTTCAACAACTAGTATTTTCTTATTTGTTTGTTAATATTTAAAAAAAGAAATTAGAAATGGACTTATAAATTTAGACACTTGGGACTGTAGGATTATTAATCTCAGTTGTATTATTTGTATTATTAAAGAATTCAATGCATTTTATTCCAAGTGGAATAAAATGGATTCTTTCATTTAGTATTTGTGGTTCATCAGTGGCATTAATTACATCATTAATTGGAATATATAGTGGATTCCAATTAAAGAAAATATTCATATATATTGTTTGTTTTATTATTTTTAAGATAATAAAAATAATTATTAATAAAATAAATAGTATATTGGAGGATGTGTTGTAGTTACTATTCTTTTTCTTGGTACTACAGTAACAAGTTTTATTGGAGTTGCATTTCCTGATTGGAGTTTAACTCATTTTTGGAATGGTTTGAATTCTAATCAAAAAGCATTTACTGAAGTTGCATATAGATGTTGTGGATGGAAGGCATATTCTCAAAATGATTGTGCATATTATCCAATTCCAGGAGAAGTACAAGCACCATGTTATGCTAAGTTATATTTTCCATATAATGGATTTATTATTATGACATTAATTCTTGGAACTCTTGCTTCAGTCATGTGTGTTTCATTTATTGGGATGGCTGTATATTTCATTATTACATTTAAAGTAGGTAATGGCTCTTCTTCATCTGCAGCTTCTAAAAAGGATGATGATTATCAAAGAGTTGTTGATGAGTTTAGTGAAAACATTGAGGAATAATACAATTCCCTTTCATCTATTTCTTAAAACAAATGTTTTTTCAATTTACTGTTTAATTCCATTTCTTAAATTCTTGAAGAATATGTCCATTTTCATCTGTTACTTCTCCATTATGAAAATGTATTTTAATAAAACCTTCTACACTTGCTGTTTCACCTTCTAACCCAATTAATTGAATTGGGATATCTCCAAATAATTTTCTTACTCGCATTTTCATTTCTAATCCTTCTTCTTTATTTGTACAAACAATAATAATTCCTTTTGGTTCTTGTTCATCAAAAACTTCCCAAAAATCATTAGTCTTTACAGTGTTAATAAGCCATTTTATTATTTGTTGTTGTTCAGGATTATCTTCATTACAAATAATATGCATAACTTCTCCTTCTTTTAATTCTTTAAAAATTAAATCATTCTGACTTTTACTTTGAATAATTTCTTTTTCTTTTATTGCTTGTTTTCTTTCAAAATTTTCTTTAAGATTATCTGGGTCTATAACTGATGCTTTTGGTCTTATTTTTAATGTTCCACTTCCTTTTGTTTTACTTTTTGATGTTTCTTTATAAACACTTGTTATTTTATTTAATACACCAGGGTTTGTTTCTATTGTTTTTTTAATATCATCATTTCCTGTATTTTGTATGGATGTTTTCATTGTTTTTGAACTTGATTTTTTTATTTTATGTAATTGTTTTCTTTTTGGTTCTGGTTCTTTTGATGCGTTAAGACTAGGCTCTGAATGAGTTTCTAATGACTTTTTTCCTTTGGACAATTTTTCTTTTTCTTCTAATGGAGGAGTTACTACAATTGGAACTGTTGGTTTACTTGAAAGACTACTTTTTGATTTTGTTTTATGTTGTTGGTCTTTTGGAGAAGATAAAACAAATAATAATGGTTCTGTTTTATGTTCACCTTTTTTTTTCTTACTTTCTGATTCTAGACGAGGGGTTTTTTGTTGAGATTGTAAATAATTATTATTTGATAAATGAGGATCTAATTTAGGAATTTGAGTATCTGCTTTTTCTACTTGAGATGATAAGATACAATCTTTATAATTAATTACAGTTGGTTCTGTTTTAGATTTTGTTATTTGAGTTTTTGGTGATAAAAGGGAATTTAATTTTTTATTAATATCTAATAATGAAATTTCTGTTTGAGTTGATTTATTCTTTAATATAGAAATCTCTTCTAAAATTTTTGTATATTTTTCATCATTATCCATAATAGAAATTGAAACTTTCTTTTTTACATCAATTAATTCATTAGCACAATTATTAGTTTTTAAGATACATTCATTTAGTCTTTTTTTAAACATATCATTTAAATTTTTTTCATTTTCATTTGAATTATTTGTAACGTTAAGTACTAAATGAATTTTATTTTCAATTTCATTTATTCTTTTTTCAATTAATATAAATTTTTCTTTTATAAAAGAGTTTGTCTGTTCATTAGTTTTAATATTTTCTTCACATTGAATAATTCGAGATATTAAGTCATTAATTATTAAATCATCATTTCCTATTTTCTTTATTTCGTTTTGTAGAAGTTTTTTTTCACTTAGTTTCAATATCATTTGTCTTAATTCACAAATTTGGTTCATAACATTTTCTAATTTTTTGTTATATTCTTCTATGAGTGTTGCTTTAGTTTTATTGCTCAAAGTATTTCCTTCTATAAGAATTATTTCTTTAATACCTTTTCCTAAAGTGAAATTAACTTTATAATTTGTTTCAATTGGTTCAATAGAAAGGATTGAACCTATTGACTTTATTCCATCAGGTTCAGAAAATATTTTAATCGAATTTGAATAATATCCATCACTCCTTAATACCTTATTTTCAGCTTTCATTTCTACTATTAATTCATCAATAAATCCTGTTAATCCTTGTTTTAATGTAAATAATACATGAAATACTATTTTATTGGTAGTAAACTCAATTTTTCTTTCAGTCATTTTTTTGATTTTGTTTAAATTATTTAGTAATTTAAAGTTTTTAGATATTTAACATTCATTTGGTTCTTTTTTATGTATCTGATTAGTATCATCAATTTTCCTTTTTTTATAGAAATGTGAATTTTCTGAAATTCCAAAAAAATCTTTATTCAAAAGAATTTAAGTATTATGACTAAAAAGTCACTTTCATTATTGGAAATTATATTTATAAAAAAATAGATTGGTGAGTGAAAGAGTAATCAATGAATGGAAATTCATCAAATAGAAAGATATTTGGATTGGAGTAAAAAATAAAAAAAATAAAAATAAAAAAAGAAAGAAGAAAAAAAAAATAATAAAAAGTTAAAATGAAAAGAAGATCGAAATATAAAAATAATTAGGAAAATTGAACTAAAAAATAAAAAGAGGTAAATTTAAGAGAAGAATGGCAGAAAATGAAGAATTAAATGTTTCAGTTATGCAACTCCAACCATCAATATTTGAGGCATGGGCAAAAAAACAAGGAGGTTCTGTAAAAAATTGGAAAAAGAGATGGTTTGTATTAAAACCAACAAGACTTTGGTATTTTAAAGCTAAAAATTCAACAAGTGCACAAGGATATATTGAACTAACACCTCAAACTACAATTCAAGAAGAAACTGGAATGAATGTACCTGGTAAAAAATTTTTCTTTAGTATAGATTCTAGAAATCAAAAAGGAACAAGAAAATTTATATTTTGTGTTGATAATGAAGTGTATTTAAGAGAATTTTTAAAAAGAATTTTCGATGCTATTCATGCCCAACAACAACTTAATCTTCCTAAAACTACTTCTGTTGTTCAAAAAGTGGAAGAAATTCAATTGGCTCCAATTAATGTTGGTGGTTCTCAACCAAGTTCTTTAAGTCCTACACAAAACTTAAATAATTCTATTCAGTCTAATACTTCTATTCAACAATCAAATCTTCAACAAAATAATCAAATAATTTCTTCTTCACAAGAAAAATCTACTCAGTCTCCTCTCTTGGATAAACCTCAAACTCAAGCACCAAAACCACAGAAAAAAGCTGGTTGGGTTGTTACTCGACCAACTATTTCACATGGAAGTATTACACAAACACAATCAAGTTGTGACAACACTTCTTTACAAAATGGGAATGAAGAAAATAAAATGCAAGTCCAACAAGAATTGGAGGATATTCGTCGTGTAGAAGAAGAGAAAAGAATGGAAAAATTTAGACAACAACAAGAAGAATATATGAGAATTCAACAAGAAGAAGAAAAGAAACGTATTGAAGAAGAAATTCAAAGACAAATGGAAGAACAACAAAAAGAAGAAGAACAAAAAATTCGAGATCAACAAGAAATGATAAGACAACAAGAAGAATTACTTAAACAACAAGAACTTCAACAACAATTAGAAGAAGAAGAAAGAAAGAAAAAAGAATTAGAAGAACAAGAAAAGATGAAACAAATGAATGTTATTATAGATGAAAATAATAAAAAAGAAAATAGTTCAAGTTCAACATCTGATTATGATGATGGAGAAGATATAACATTACAAAATGTTATTTCATTTGTTCAAGCATTTGAATGGATTGGAGAAAATGCACAAGAATTTGTTCAATTATTCTATGATAATATTCCTAGAAGATCTCCTACTCATCTTTCAGCATCAGTTAATCCAACTGGAACAGAAATATTTTTAAGATGTACATCACCATTATCAGAATTAAGAACTGTCATAGAATTTTTTAATCAAGTTGGATCACCAGAAGAACAAATAGAAAAAATGAAAACAGAAGCAGGAAGAAATGGAGTTTTAGCAATTGAAAGTTGGATATCTTTAAGTGATAAAGGAGGATGTGATGCTGGATGGAATATTATTGCAGAACAAGATAGTTTAGATGTAATTCAAGATATTTCTGATCCATCAGAAATAGATAGTGTTGGTATTATTAAATTATGGTGTGAAACTAATCATGTTGATTATGTACATCGATTTGGTAGAGATATGGGGGATCAACCACCATATAATACAGAATTTTGGATGGATATTCCATCTAATGAAATAGAAATGATTCAAAATGCAGCTACAGCATTTATGTTCCCAGAAATACCAAAAGAAGTATTAGACTCATGTTTAGGATCACGTGTAATGGTAAAAGTAGTAACAAGTGAAGATGGCTTTGTAAAATTCTCAGTTATCATTGAGAAAATACAAGAACAAAATATAAAGAATTGTATTGAATTATTAAAAGAAGATCCAACAGATGTATTAAATTTACAACAATTATTAAACATTAAAATAGAAGGATTTGAATATACATTCTTAAATGAAGGATTTGGATACGATGTTTATAATGAAGGAGCTAAAACATCTGTTGTATTCAGAATGGGTAGTTTCTAAGAAAGATTAAAAAAGAAATTCAATACATTTTTAAGTTTAACTCAATCAATTTTTAGTTATTTCAAATTATATGTAAAAGATATATGATATTTTAATTAAACAAAATGAAAGAAGAAATGAATTTATTTCAATACAAATCGATTAAGTTCACTAATGAAGTTTTTAAATGAATTTAATTCATTATCATCTAACATACAATATTCTAATAATTCACTCCCATTAAAAGGAATGATTAATTCATTCAAAATAAGAGGAAATTGTATATTATATTTTAATGAATTCACTAATATTCCAACTTGATTTCCTTCACAATGAATATTTTGGTCATCAGTAAGTATAACAACTCTTCCAAAATTAAGAAAAACAATTGCAGAAGCTTCAATTTGTTTAATTATTTCTTTTTTTAATAAAGTATGTCTTGCCTGTGGTTGTTGATAATTATTAGTAAAGATATAAATAATTGGATTATAAATGGAATATAAATAATATGGATCAAAGTCAAAGAGAAGATGTTGGTATAATGCTGATAATTGTGGATTAGCTCGAGAATATAATGGAGATGTTAATAAATAATTACAAATTTTTAAAAAAGTTAAAAATTGATAATGAGGAGTTGATAATACTGTTAAATAACGTTTTAAATTCTTTTTTAATTCTAAAGGGTCTGGAAGATTATAAAATAATGATTGAATAGATGCTCCAATAGACAAACTATTATAATATTCTATAACTGTATTAACCATTATAAATTTTATTGTTTCTATACAACTACATTTAAATGAAAGAGAATTATAATCCAATGAATCATTATAAATAAACTGCATATATAATACTGTTTTTTTATACTTTGATTTCTCTTTGAAATAAATAGAAATATTTGAATGACTTTTTGGAGTTGTTGGTGCTAATGAAAATATAACTTTTTTTTTAGGAAAGGTTTTATCATTAAAACTTCTTTCAAATGTTGAGTTGATTATTTGTATTTGAGATGGATATAATATTGTTAATGTCCCACCATTCGTTCTAGGCATTTCAAGATCATTTATTAATGAATTGATTGAGTCATCAAATGTTTGTGATGTATGTCTATCCCATGTATGAAGAGATCCACCATTTAGTCTAATATAATGAAGAAGAATTGGATAAATATCTGATTGATATTTATCAGGAAATACTACATGAAGAGGAACAGATAACTGGATTGGGTAAGGAAGTTCTTTAGCGTTTGTATTTATAAATGAAACCAATTCTATTCCATGAGTACAAATTGTATTAATTAATTGAATACATTTACACCATCCATCAAGACATTGATGTAAATGAATTAAATCAATAAAAGGAAGATTTTCATTAAAATTTGATAAAATAGAATCAACCATAGATGGTGTAAGCCATAAAGATTCAATATTAAATGGTAATTCAGTTATTTCTTTTAATCCAGGAATTATATTAATATTCATTCTTGTTCCATTTTTAATGTAATGAATTGAATTTTCATTAAAGAAGATACATGCCACTTTATATCCTTTTGAACTAATTTGTTTAATTGTTTTTTTAATCATTTCTTGACATGAAACAATTTCTAATTGTAATGATATTAAAAATATGAATTTCCTTTCAGTAGAAGAATGTTGTATTTCTGTATGAATAGTTGCTTGTGTTTTTGGGATATTTTCTATATTTTCATTAATTCTTCCACAATTACAACAAATAAATGAATTTCCATTATGTGTATTATAGATATTATCATAATAACCACATTTACATTGACTTGGTTGTATTGATGATTGTTCATTAATAGGGTATGGAGTAATATGAATTGTGTGTGGTAAAATATCTTTTTGCCTATAAATGAATTGACATGATGTGGTTATCATTACTTCTTTTTTATTTCATTTAGTTCTTTTTATATTTTTTATTTTTTCATTAAAAAAGTTTTTAATTAAAATTAACCATAATTATAGTTAATTATCTTTTCTTTTGTTTAATTAACGTAATTCGATGGGAAAATACCTTTTACTCCATTAAGTTCTCCACTCCACCAATCACCTGACTTCTCTAATACAGTAATGACATCTCCTTCTTTAAAAGACAACTCTCCTGCATCTACAGCAGTATAATCATAAAGTGCTGTTACAGTTGAAAATTGATTTGTTGGTTGAGGAGTAGTCATAACTGGAGTAGTTGGTTCTGTTGGTTTAGTTTGAGAAGTGAAATCATCATTAATAAATCCTCCTAGATCATTATTTTTCTTAGCACGAACATTTTCTAAAACAATCATTGATTGTTCATTTGGTGTGATTGGAATTTCTTGTTTTAAATCTACTTCAGGAATTGATGAAATAATACTTGGTACTTTAGTCCAAATTTCATTTAATTCATTAATATAGTCTGTGTAACTCTTCATACAATTAACACAAATTTGTGGAAATTGTATTTTAACTTGTTCTATACATTTGTTTATGTCAGTAACTATCTCATTTCTCAAATAATCATAATTGTCTTTAGCTTCATTATATCGAGTCTCTGCTTCAGCTAACCCATTTTGTTTTTCTGGTGCTTTTTTAGCAATTGACTCATATTTGTCATGAGCTGCATCCATATCTAATCTTCTTTGTCCTAAAGTTTTAGTCCTTTTTTCCATAATAGTACATGCCTCAACAAGCCTTTGAATTGGTTCAATTACTTCCTCTTTAATTTTCATACCATATAAATGACCTTTCATATCTATTTCTTCAAAAATACTATAACACTCTTGACAACAACATCCTTCTCCTAATAAATCTTTTCCATCTTTCATTGCTTGCATATGACAAACAGTTGATGATCTTCCTGCATCTGGTAGTTTTGAATATGAAGAACTAGCTTTCTTTAATTTCTTAATAGTATTTTGCAAGTCAATTTTTAATTGATTTACTTCATTATCTTCAGTCTTTTTAGAAACTCCAACAATTTCTTTAACTCCTTGGAATGATCTCTTAAAAAACATATTATTTCTGGGTTTTAAGTTCTTACCCATTTTTAGATGTTTACTATTCTGTTCATCTGTATTTTCATTTTATTCTCTCCTTTATTTATCTCAATCCTTCTTTAATCATTTCTTGTTATCATAGTTTTTTCTTTTCAATTTTTATGAAGAAACTTTGATTAGATCCATTCTTTCTTAATGGTTATAAACAAAAATCCATTAATTAAGTTTGTTATCTTTATATTTCATTAATACATTTTTCTTTAATTAATTTATGGATTATGTTTCTTACTTCTTATAATAATTTTATGTGTTTATTTTCTCAATTGTGTTTTTTTTTTGTCATATTAAAAAATAAATTATTATATCTTTTCATTTCCTTTTTGTTTTTTTCAGGAATGTGTATTGTTTTCTTTTTATCTTTTTTGGATATAACTATCACAGAAGCAGAAGTTAAGCAAAAACTCTTATTTTTGGAAATATACATTGAAAAAAATAAAAGAGTTTAGTTCAAGAAATTACAAATAAAAAGAATAAAAAGAAAGAACCATTCAATTAAGTTAAGTAATAACCAACACAAAAAGGCAATAAAAAATATTATTTATAATGTGAATAAATTAATGATTACTTAGACATATATATTCAATTATGTTAAAATAACACACTTTGAAATAGGAAATAAAAAACAATAACAAAATTTTTAAAGAAAAAAGTTATTCAAAATATGCTCCACAAGTTGGACAACGACCTTTTTGTTTTTCACAATAAATGCCAAAACAAGAAGAACATACATACCCATGGTCTAATGGTTTTTTACAATGGAAACACCATAACTTCCAATCAATTGCAGGTTGTTGATTTCCAGTTACTCGAATTATTTTTTCAGTGTCACAATCAGAAGTATTATTACTCTAATAATTAATTGAAATGAAAAAAGTTTCTTTTTGAATAAAACAAACTAATAGCCTTGGAAAGAGGGATTGAAGTGTAGCAGTATTGTAAATTCCATTTGTTAAGTATGAAGCTTGTTGACAAAAAGTGCATCTTGTTTCAATTACACTTAATACAATTGTATCAATGGTTGTTTTCTATTAAATAAGTAATTAAATGATGATTAAAACCATTTAACAAACAATTCTCTGAGCAGCAAAAACACAATTCATAAGAGGAATAAATTTTGGTGAACTTTCAAATGGAGTTGATACAACAATTATTTTTTTCTGAACGTCTGGTTGAAGTTTACCATCTTTATTAATTGTGGTGAGGGCTAATGACATTGCTGATGATAGATTTGGTTCATTGACAAGAAATTTATCATTTAATACTTCTTTTATTGCTTCTGCTATTGATGTAGTTAATTCTCCTCTATCACTTTCTTTTACAAATACACTTTTACCAGCATAAACAATTGTAAAAATTGATGAATTATCATGAATTTCTTTTAAAACTCGAATAAATGAATTTATTATATTTACATATTCTCTTATTTCTTCAACATTTAGTTTTCTATTATTATGAACAAAAAATGTTGCATCAAGCAATATTCCACAAATCATAGGTAAACTTTGTTTAATCAGAGTAGATTGTTGTTTTTGCATGAACCAAATGAATCATTTAATCTTTTTTTAATTAATTTTCATTTTTTTTTTATTCATTTATCATTATTTATTATCATTAATCTAAGTAATTGGTGGTAACGAAATTTCTTCAACGCAACGTTCAGTGGCGCTATTAAGTTGTTTGTCTGTTTTTTCTTTTTCTTCATAAGAAGGAAAAATAACTGGTGGGAATGATGGAGCCATTGGAAACATAACAGGTGAAAAAATTGTTCTTTTTTCATGAGGTTGGGTTGGATATTCAGGTTGAACAAATGAATCTGAACAAATAAGTTCTTCTTCATAATATTTTTTGGACAAATGAAGTTCTAATTCATTTCGAATTAAATACAAGAGCTGAACTTCCCTATTCATTTGAAGTTCAACCATTTCAAGTGTTTGTTCCATCATCTTTAATTTCTTTTCTACCAAATTAATTTGTTGTTTTAAATCTGTTTTTTTTTCGGTTGTACAATCTTCACTTTGTTTTTGTTCTTCACTTTGATTTCTTTTCATATATTTTTCAATCTTATAAACTCTTAACTAGTGTAGTCTTTCATTTCAATTACATTAATTAATCTTATCGAAAAGAAAGTATTTTGTAAACTTCAAAAAAAAAAGAGGAATTTAGAAAAAAATAAAAGAAGAATAAAAACTTAAAAAAAGAAAATCAATAAACTAAATTTTATAAATGCAACACAAATTGTTAAATCTATTCCAGTTACCAGAACGTGCTTTAGACATGATCCTTTCTAACTTAAGTAATGAAGATTACCTAAAAATGGTTGAAGCTTATGAAGAATTTATACCTCAACAAATGTCATTATCAAGATTAAAAAGTATTTTTGGTGAGAAGATTGAGATTGAAAAAAAATTAGAAAACCGAGGATGGCATTACCTTATTCGTAAACTTATTAAACAAGCACATCCACAAGAGTTAGTTTCTAATATAAGTGACAATAGATTTTTTACTGTATCTGGGAGAAAATACTCTCCTACAAGTGCTAAACATATGGATATGTGCACTCATATTGGTCAATACCCTTTTGGTCCAGAAAAAATGGTTGGTGTTATGACAAACCCAAACAATGAACGTGTTATTATTGAATCAAATATCTATTATTTTGAAGTAACATTTGATAAAATAGATAATCCATTTGAATATACTTTTGCTATTGGACTTTGTCCGTTACATTATAAAAAAGTTTGTTTATATTCTTAAATTAAACTATAAAAATAAGAGTCATTAAATAGGATAAATTCATTGGTTGGGAAGAAAATTCTATTGGATATCATTCAGATGATGGTAAAATGTTTTATAACAATCCAAAAGGAAAGACATTTGCAAAACCTTATGGACAAGGAGATACAGTTGGTTGTGGATTTGATGTTTCAAATCATATTGTTTTCTTTACAATAAATGGGGTTAGTCTTCCTCTTATTCCTGTTAAAGAAAATGCTTTTTACCCTGCAATTAGTTTAAGAAGTTACAAAGACTTTACTATCAACTTTGGAGAAGAACCATTTAAATATGATGTTTATCATTTTAAAACAAAAGATGAAGTTAAGGATGGTCATAAAGACCAAAGTAGTGAACAAACCTTTGATAAATCAAACTTGTTTTTCAATTCTAAACTATTAAATCACTTCTTAAACTCAGAAGATGAAAGTTCTGGTTCAAATAGTTTTAATCCAACTAATTCAAATTGTGAAAGAACGAATAAAGACGAAATAAGTGAAGATGGAACCAACAGGGATAATTCTAATAATGAGGGGTCTGAGGATGAAGAATTAGAAGAGTCAATAGATGAAGATACTGATGAAGACACAAGTAGTATTTTCTCTGAATAATCAGTTCAGTAATATATAACAATTTTTAGTTAATATTTTTGTTTTATAAAACAAACAATTTCATAAGTCTAAAAATCAAAAATTTTCTTTTACTTTTGGTTAGAAATGATAATATAACAACTGTAAAAGGAGTTTAGAAAATGAACTAAAAGTATATGAGTTTAACAAGTTATATAGCCTAATTAGATAACATAAAATGTTTTTAATTCTACTATCCATTGAAACAACAATATCTTGTTTTAATAATTCAATTTATAATAGGGATTTGAAAGAAAATATAAGAAAGATATTAGTG